GACAAAGACTCTCTCACTGGATCGTAGAGGCCATCTTGCTAGCATACAGCAGCAAAAACCTTCCAATCCCTCTTGGAGTTAAAGCTCACTCCACCAGGGGTGTARHRACATCTTGGGCCCTTTTTAAAGGGGTACCTGTGAGTGACATTTGCGCCGCGGCCAGCTGGGCCTCACCAAACACATTTGCACAATTTTACAGCCTGGGTGTAACAGGACCTTCGGTGGCTCATTCTGTACTTTCTGCCGGGTCCAAAGCTCTGCATTAGTACAGTACTTACTCAGGTCTGATACTGCTCTGCGGGGAGCTTTGACAAGTCCCATATACAACTGTGTGTTGTACTGAGTGAAATGACTGAAAAGGAACGTAAGGTTATGAATATAACCATGGATCCTTGAAGGAATGGAACGAAGTACAACACCTCGTTGGCCCTGCATCACAAAGGCTCGGTGAAGGGCGGTATCTAACTGAGTAATGACGCTGGTGATTCCGAACTTACAGGGTGAAGGCGGAGCCTGTTACCCGACATTCAACGTCACCACGTCACCGGTCTAAAGACGTGATTAGAGGTGGCTTCAGCCAGGCGCACATGGGCGCGCGTCTCCCATATACAACTGTGTGTTGTACTTCGTTCTATTCCTTCAAGGAACCATGGTTATATTCATAACCTTACGTTCTCAATGTATATGATGCCCCTGAGTTTGGTTATAGCTAAACATATTCTCCAGTTTCATTTTTATGCAGAAAATATACAAGTGTATTTGCTAATACATCCTTTGGACTGTATTTTGAATGGTTTTAAGGATATTAGAGAGTGGTTTTCACAAAAGTTTCTGCCTTTGAATGCTCTTTATGTCGGAATAAGTCAGAGTTCTCTATATGGACTCAAATTGGTCCAGAATGCTGCTCGACTCTTGACCAACACTAGGAAGCACAATCGCATTACGCCTGGACTTTACTTCCTTCATTGGCCCCCAGTTCGTTTTAGGGTTCACTTTAAACTTTTAATGCCTGTTTTTAAAGCTGTTCATGGTATTGCACCTTTTTATTTGTGTGATCTTTTAACATCGTCCAGAGTTCTTCAGTCTGCTGACCAACCTCTTTTGGAAGTCCCCAGATCAAAGTCCAAACAGTGGGATGATGNGCTAAACGGGTCAGGGACCTCCACGCTCTGTCAGTGAACCCCTCCTGTATCCAGTTTTCTACTAATGACTCTAAAGTGGTTTTGCACCCTAACTCTGCGTATCTTCCTAAGGTGATACCTTCTAGTTACAACTCTACGTATGTCTATAGAGCTATCCAGCTTTCACCCCACCCCCCTTTGCATCTGAGGAGCAAAAGAGGCTGCATCTTCTGTGCCCCGTACGTGCTCTACGCACTTACATCAGCCGCACACAGGATAAGGTCATGTGATCAGCTGTTTGTGGCTGTTGCTAACCCACACAGAGGTAAAGCTTTTTCTAGACAAAGACTCTCTCACTGGATTGTAGAGGCCATCTTGCTAGCATACAGCAGCAAAAACCTTCCAATCCCTCTTGGAGTTAAAGCTCACTCCACCAGGGGTGTAGCGCCATCTTGTGCCCTTTTTAAAGGGGTACCTGTGAGTGACATTTGTGCCGCGGCCAGCTGGGCCTCACCAAACACATTTGCACAATTTTACAGCCTGGATGTAACAGCACCTGCGGTGGCTTATTCTGTACTTTCTGCCAGGTCCAAAGCTCTGCATTAGTACAATACTTACTCAGGCACACTTCTTAACTCAGGTCTGATACTGCTCTGCGGGGCACTTTGACAAGTCCCATAAACAACTGTGTGTTGTACTGAGTGAAATGACTGAAAAGGAACGTAAGGTTATGAATATAACTACGGTTCCTTGAAGGAATGGAACGAAGTACAACACCTTGTTGGCCCCGCATCACAAAGGCTCGGTGAAGGGCGGTATCTAACTGAGTAATGACGCTGGTGACTCCGAATTTATAGGGTGAAGGCGGAGCCTGTCACCCGAGGTTCAACGTCACCACGTCACCGGTCTAAAGACGTGATTAGAGGTGGCTTCAGCCAGGCGCGCGAGGGCGCGTGTGTCCCATATACAACTGTGTGTTGTACTTCGTTCCATTCCTTCAAGGAACCGTGGTTATATTCATAACCTTACGTTTTAGTTGTTAGATCAAAAACCATGGAATATACTAATTGTTGTGTTCAGTAACCAGACTAATATTAAAAATATAGTTCAATAACAATATATTCCTCTGCTGTCTATGCATTCAAACACAGTAGCAACATATTCACTGATGGAGTCCTATGTATGCAACTGATTTAATGATATGCAAACTGGCAAAAGTATAAATAAACTGCAGCTAAAAACCACTTCATACGCACAAGGCAGCCATGTCTGGGCTGGTGAGAAACCTCCAACTTTTCAAATCAGACCTTTCAACTTTGAGGAGCCTTTCTATTGCTTTTTCAAATTAAACCTCAAAAATTGTGACTTCTATAAAGAAATGGAACGCATCATAAGTAAACATTTAAACAAGGCCAAGTCATTTACAAAATTTTAATAAATAGGTTTTTAAAAATGACAAATGAAATTAATATGCAACAAAACATTTATTTAATGTCTGGTGTTCTCTCTTTTCAATGTTGCAATCTAAAAGAAAAAAGTTTATTTTACTGACAGTGTTGCAGGATGAGGATGATTTTTCACCAAAGTAACTTGTGAAGATAAATTATAAAAACAATTAATGTTCAAATAAATTATTTTCTATTAAACTGTTTCAATTATGTGGCAAAAAAACTGTGTCCCTTTTACATTCTCTCACTTCCTATGCTTTCATTTTACCATTTAGAAACACCCCTTAGAAATGTTAAGTGCAAACTAAACCATCTGTTGCATTGAAATAGCTTTAAATTGAATTGAGACATTTATCAGTCTCTCGTGTGTGAGATGAAACTAAATCACTTTTTAACATAAGCACTTTAATATGCCTGATATCAACTACAAACAGGAAGGGAAGCAATGCACTCACAAAGCACTGCATAAACCATCCAATTAATTTTTTGAGAAACAAAGAGGTGTGTGTGTGGGGG